TACCTAATTAGAATCCATTGAGCGGAGACATATGTAACCTTTATATGTTCTCAGTTTTTCGGATTCTATTGGTCCCTTCTAGGCTATTAGTTATTTGCTAATCCATGACACGAATTAAAAACACGACATATATATAAAAATATATACTAATTATTATTGAACTTTACACTTACAATCGTTTAAGTTTTGGTGCTAGTACTCAGAAGTTTATCTTTCAATTTTTATTTCAACCAAAAATTGCAAAATGATTTTATATAGCTGCTTGTTGGGTTAAAAAAAAGTTGTTTTGTTTGATGATAGAATTTATTTCCTTTAAACTAATTACAGAATTTGCTATTTTGTCGGTTAATACAATTCTTCCAATTTCCACTATAATATAATGAACTTTTTACGGCATTAAAAATAGCAACATTAAATTTTGAAATTGATATATATTCGTGGTCCAAATTCATTTCTACATAAAAGGGTTATATATTAAATTATAAAACAAAATTATTATTATAAATACATGATCCACTGTTTAATGAAGTTGAAAAGAAAAGTAAAAAATGGAAATCAATTGCTGTCAAAAAAATCATTTTCTTATGAATGAGGTTTGTGTAAAAAATTATATCACCCTACTATTTAGAAAACATATATTAGAAAATTAAAAATTAGTTCTACTACTCAATCCAAGTCAAATCATAACTTCAACAACCCATTCAAACCCAGAACTTATTATTATCTCCATTTCATGATCCCCATCATCGTTTATCTTTGAAAAGTTACGAATAATCTTTCTATACCTGTAATTACAATAGTTGGGATATCGCTGATTATGCTTGCCTACTACATTTATTCTGTTGGGGAAAAATAAAAGAATTGTTGCATATTAAAGCGTTGTATAATATTGTCCATTTGTGTTGCATTTTTCTTCATAGAGATGGGGAGAGAAAAGAAAAAGAAAGGAAAATTGACAAGTTGTTGGCTACATGAATTGGGAACAAAAAGACATGCCATGGACATAATTTGATTAGTCCAAGTAATTAATTGCATCAATAATGTATGTTACGTAACTGCTGCGAATTGTTAAGAGTTTGGCCTATGTGCGAACTAACGTTGGCTCAATGAGGTGCAAATATGTCTATCTTACTTGGGAAATGACGTTGAAAAATATTAAGAAAAATTATAAAATATAGTGATTGTTGCTAGACACGTCTCTTGCTTTTAGAGCATGAAAATAAGTTGATTTGTCAATAAATTTATCTATGACCATGATTTGTCACTTGTTTCGGAAATAAGTTAATGAAAGACTAATAATAGTAATTTTCGATGTTTTTGGCGAAGCCGAACAAATCAACTTGTTTAGAAATTGGGTTGAATTTGACTCTATTGATGGACATGTTTAGCCTTGAATTTTTGATTGCAATCATGTGAAGAATAATAAATAGATTCTCCTAAAATCAAAGTTGATTTTCTTCACATGAATGATATCAATTAATTTATATGAAATGTTGTGATAGATGTCATCTAAAGATGATCGTAACTTACCAATAGCTAGTTATGATCATGCAAATTGAATGAAAACTTGAAATTTATTTGTAGACGCTCTCAAAAAGAGACAAGATAGTAACTAATTGTCCCAATAAATATGATATGTTGCAGGCAATTTCAACAATAATAGCTCATCATCGGTGTGTGGTGCTCTTGAAAGCTTAATAAAATGACAACCAATGAGTGGACCCTAAAAATACAGTCAAGTCTTTCGTTACTAAATAAAATAATACCGTCCGTTAACTGTTTGTCTCCGTGTGTGCATGTAATCAAATTGTCCTTGCACTTCTATTAGTCACATAGTTACAAATCCATACAAACAAGAAAAGCGAAATGACGCAGCATGGCACGAGGACCTTAGCAATACTTGTTAGGAAAGTAATCTCTCATGCAAGACTAAATTATAATCTTTAGTGCTTGTCTCCCATCCATTAGAATTTCTTTGTATGCAATCAAAACGGCTCTCGTTATATAGCCACTGCTTTCTCCTACAGTGTCGTAAGAGTCGAAATATGCTCTACAACAGGAGACTTTTCTTTGACCACAAAAAAATGTTACAAAATAATAATAATAAGATTTTAAAAATAAGTTCCGTCTTTCTTATTTTAGAAAATAATTATAGACATTCAATTTATAATAGGTTCAAGTTCAATTTTGATAGGAATGAATGTTTGTGAAGCAAATTATTTGGCTGAAAACGGTGGGAAAAAAAACATGGGGGACAGAGTCTCTGATATGATCCAGGAGTCAAGCCCGACGAAGGCGAGTGCGATCTCATACGACTCAAATTAGTGTAACCAAAGCTCCTAGAAAATTTTAATTAATGGCAATATGATTCAACTTCAATGGGTTCATTTGAGCTTGATAGGGCAGACTGGTTGACCGTTGACCCACGAAGCGGTTCCACAAATAATAGCTAATTACGTGGATAAAACCTATTTAAAACAAAGTAGCTAAAATTAGTAGGATGTTATGGGCATCCTACTTGATTATTCATTAACGTATTGTAACCGAGAAACATATATCAATAAATATAAAACTACAGTAAATCATTAACTTTTCAACATAAAAAGTAATTAAAACTCAGCAAAAAAGTTCATCCTCTTCCAGAAATATTGATTTTTACTAATATACCAAAATTTAATGGGACAATTTGAAGTAGGCCATGTGATAGTCGGAACGAAGGGGAGAATAAATAGAGCTCAAAACGTATTATAATTTATTTTTTCATGTAAAAATTGTCATATGTATTATAATTTATTTTTTCCTATAAAAATTGACATATTTAAAAGTGTCATATTTATTCTTTCTACTTGTAGAAGTTTTAATCAAATAATGCATTAGGAGTCCTTTTCCAACAATGTATATTTTCAAATCAAACTAATTGTATAATTAGACTTTAGTTAAGTTACTATATGTTTACGTGACATCCACTTTAGACTCGTGAACTGGGAAAAAGAGATGTGGAGGGAAAAAAAAAAAAAAGGGAGGAAAATTGACAAGTTGTTGGCTACATGAATTGGGAACAAAAAGACATGCCATGGTCATAATTTGATTAGTCTAGGTAATTAATTGCATCAATAATGTGTGCTATCTCACTGCTGCGAATTTTTAATGGCCTATGTGCGAACTAATGTTAGCTCAATGAGATGCAATATGTCAATCTTGAGAAACGACGTTCGACAATTATTAAGAAAAATTATAAAATATAGTGATTGTTGCTAGACACGTCTCTTGCTTTTGGAGTATGAGAATAAGGTGATTTGTCATTAAATTTATCTATGACCATGATTTGCCACTTGTTTTAGAAATAAATTAGTGAAAAAATAATAATAAAATTTTTCCATGTTTTGGCGAAGTCGAGCAAACTGATGTGTTTAGAAATTGGGTTGAATTTGACTCTATTGCTCGACATGTGAGTCTTGAATTCTTGATTGCAATCAAGTCAAGAATAATAATAGATTCTCTTAAAATCGAAGTTGATTTTCTTCACATGAAATGATATCAATTAATTTATTCGAAATGTCATCTAAAGATAATGGTAACTTATCAATAGCTAGTTATGATTATGCAAATTAAATGACAACTTGAAATCCATTTGTTGACGGTCTTAAAAAGAGGCATGACGGTAACTAATTGACCCAATAAATGTGATATGTTGAATGTTATTTCAACAATAATAACGAAAATAATCTTTCATCATTGGTGTTTAGAGCTCTTGAAAGCTTAACAAAATGACAACCAATGAGTAGACCCTAAAAATAAAGTCAAGTCTTTAGTTATTGAATAAAATAATATCATATCCAATGTTAACCGTTTGTCTCCATGTGCACATATCAAAAATAACTATGTCCCTTCAACTTATAGAAGACTAAATTATAATCTTTAGCTCGTCTCCCATCCACAAGAATTTCTTTGCATGCATTCAAAACGACTCCTGTTATATGGCCACCCCTTTCTCCTACAGTATCGGGAGAGTTGAAATATGCTCTATTATGGGGAGGCTTTGTTTCGACCACAATAAAACTTACAAAATAATGATATATAAGATTTTATAAATAATTATAGACATTAAATTTATGACAATTCAAGTTCAATTTTGATAGGAATAAATCTTTATAAAGCAAATTATTTGGCTGAAAAAAAAAATGAAAAAGTCACATACGACTGAATCCATGAAAGAGGTGCATGGGAATTGATGAACGGATGAGATTTTATAATGAAGACGTTGTTGGGTATTTGTCTCAAAAATTAAAAGTTAGAGGGCTTTTATTGTAAATAATAAAAGTGACGCTGGGTAGGATAGTGATTATCCTATTGACTTGTTGTAGCAGATGATTCGTAAGAAAAGAACGACAGAAAATGTCCAAAAAATCAGAGAAAATACTCTGAATTCAACTCAATATTATTAATAATACAGAATGATCAGACTAACCCACAAGCCTGGTTAAATAGTTGCGAAATACGAAATTATTGAAAAATTACCAAAAATGGTAAAATCCCGAAATTATACCAAAATAAAATATTAAGTAAAAGAAGTAAGTTGCCAAAAATTTGGCTCAATTCGAGTTTTCTAACATATGAAAAAAAGGAAACGAAATATTACCATAAATAGTAAAAAATAACTTAAAATTGAATGTTGGAAAGGAAAACAGTGGATTTTGGGCTCGAATTGATGTCCACCGAGCATAGCTTCATGACCACGACGTGCACGGGGAAGAGAGCTTTCTGGATTGGGGTCATAATAGTGATTCCGATAACCGTAGCCAAAGTTATGGCCAAATTATCAAAGATGCGTCAAATTCCCCCAATTAAGGAAATAATGGTGATTCACTTTTCTTCCTTGCGCCGATCCGTCATCTCATGGTATCTCAGCACCATCATCGTGCTATCTGACAAATCAGCACCACTCGACTCGGATCCTCCTGCATCAGTCGCCCCGGGTTGGAAAGAACTCGCCCTCGAGTTCACAGTAACTTCATCGGACAATTGAGTTCACTGCTAAAATTCAATTTCGTTCCAAGTTTCTCCCACAAACTCCTCCAGAAATGACTCATAAACTTAGTGTCACGATCAGAAGTAATTGACTGTAGAACACCATGTAAACGCACAATCTCTCTGAAATAAAGATGAGCAATCCGAGTAGCATCCATTGTCTTCCGGCAAGCCACAAAATGAGCCATCTTCGAAAATCTGTCAACCACAACAAGAATGGAATCCATCGCCCGCTGTGTACGAGGTAAGCCCAAGACAAAATCCATACTGACATCAAACCAAGGCACTTCAGGTACAGGTAATGGTGTGTACAATCTAGCATTAGTAAGAGCCCCTTTAGACCGCTGACATACATAACACCGCTCCACATAATGCGCCACATCACTGCTCAACTTGGGCCAGTAATAATCAGAAGAGACCAATGCCAATGTCTTGTCTCGCCCAAAATGTCCTTAGTGAACAATCCGGAATGCATAACTGCAATCCACGAAACAGGTAACCATTATGTAAAACAAAATCATGTCGGTGATTATCAGTCACCTCCCGAATTATCTTCCCAAATGAAGGATCCACAGCATACATATGAGGAAATGCCTCAAATCCGACAATCTTGGTGCTCATGGTGGCGAGGAGTAATGTGCGACGGCTCAATGCATCTGCTACTTGATTCAAACTCCCTGCTTGATGCCTGAGTGTGAAAGTAAACTCTAGCAAATACGCCATCCACTTTGCATGTCACCTACTCAGCTTGTGCTGACCATTAATGTACTTCAAAACCTCATGATCAGTAACAAGGATGAACTCCCTCTATACCAGGTAATGGTGCCAATGTTTAGAGTCTGCACTATGGCATAGAACTCCAGGTCGTAAGTGGAATAATTTTTCTTCGATCCCCACAGCTTCTCACTAAAAAAGGCTACCGGACGTCCCTTCTGACTCAGAACACCATCAATACCAACTCCAGGCGCATCATAGTTTACCTCGAACACCTTTTCAAAATTCGAAAGTGCCAAGACTGGGGCCTCCGTTATCTTCGGCTTAACCAACTGAAAGCTAGTCTCTGCCTCCTCAATCCACTGAAAATCACGCCCTTTAAGGCACTCTATGATAGGAGCAATCAAGGCACTGAAGTTTCTGATGAATCGACGATAGAAGGATGCCAATCTATGGAAACTCCTGACATCGTGCAAAGTTTTTGGTTTCGGCCAATTCAAAACTACCTCAATTTTGGATTGATCTGCATGAACACCATCAGTAGACACAACAAAATCCAAAAAAGTTACAGAAGTTGTGAAGAAAGAACACTTAATTCTGATTGATGAATAAGCGCTCCGTCCTGATTACATCAAAGACAACACGAAGATGATTAAAATGTGACTCTCATGTCAGACTATAAATAAGTATGTCATCAAAATAAACTACCACAAACTTTCTCATGAAAGGTCGTAAAACCTGATGCATAAACCTCATAAAAGTGCTGGGTGCGTTGGATAGTCCAAAGGGCATGACCATCCACTCGTACAACCCATGTTGTGTCTTGAACGCGGTCTTCCACTCATCTCTAGGCCTGATTCCGATCTGGTGGTATCCACTTTTAAGGTCAATTTTTAAGAAGACCTTAGAACCGGACAATTGATCCAACATGTCGTCCAGACGAGGAATTGAAAACCTGTACTTCACTGTAATCCTGTTAGTCAACAACATACGCCATGACACATCTTTTTTCGGCACTAGTAGAGCAGGAACTACACAAGGACTCCTACTCTTACGAATATAGCCCCTTTCCAATAATTCTACCACTTGTCGCTGCAACTCTTCAGCTTCCTTGGGACTGAGGCGATATGCTGGTCAGTTTGGTAGACTCGACCTCGGAATGAGGTCGATCTGATGTTGAATGTCCCTCATAGGTGATAGTCCTGGAGGAAGATCCTCTGGCATCAAGTCAGAAAACTCCATCCGTAGTTGCTATACTTCTGCTGGAAATTCTGAATCCACATTTGTTGTACTATTTTCACGAGGCATTAAAGAATAAACTATTTTTTCACGCCCAACCTCAACCAAGAACATGGACACAGAAAGTAGATTGCGGTTTTTAACTACCAGGGCAGGGATGTTTCCTTTCCTGCGAGGCACCAAAACAATTCTCTTCTCTTTGATGCAAAGAGAATAAGTATTCTTCCGCCCATCATGGATAACACTGCGATCATACTGCCAAGGTCGTCCCAACAAAACATGACACGCATCCATTGATACCACATCAAACCAAGCATTATCAAAATATTTTTTTCCAATCGAGAAAGACACTAAGCATCATTTTTCTACCGTTACCTCACTACCTTTATTCAGCCAAGACAACTTGTATGGCTTGGGATGACGATCCATCTTCAATTGTAATTTCTCGATAGCCTCCTTAGACACTACATTCTTACAACTGCCACTATGAATTATCAGTTTACAGACTTTATCAACAACTGTGCAGGTTGTGTGGAAAACGTTGGTCCTCAACCAATCATCCCCTAAGTCGCCCTTGGGAGTTAGCAGGCTCTTTCGAATGACTAGGGTCTCCTTGCCATCTCCATATAGCACGTCCTCATCTTCACCCTCATCATACACGGGTTCCCCAACTTCCTCAAACTCCTCTATCATATCCTCCTCAATCAGAAGATTTTTATTCTTTTGACCAACAGGCTTCCTACAATCAGTCGCCCTATGCCCCTGTTCACCACACCTAAAGCACTTAATACTTGAGTTGGAACTATACCGCTGTGGCTGATAAGCAAGATGAGATTCTTGAGGGTGAACTGGCTGACTTCCTTCACCTCTGACCCCTGGCCTCTTACTTTGCTATTTCTCTACTGCAAGTGCTCGCTGATATGCCTTAGAAATTGTCAACAATGAATGAAGGCTGGGAACATCCTGCAGGGGCTGCCTTAATCCCCCCAAATACCGTGCTACCATCTGTTCCTCCGTCTCAGATAAATCATTTCGAGTCACCAACTGATAGAATTCTTCAGTATAATCATTGACTGATCTTGTGCCTTGCCTTAGTGAATGAAGCCTCTGAAACAAGTTTTGAGTATAGCCGAAAGGGAGGAAGTGCCCTTTCATCTTCATCTTCATCTTCTCCCAGTTAGTAATTTTGGATTTCCCCTATCAGTTCCATGAACGGTTCAACTGTTCCCACCATGCAGATGCCCTACCTTTGAGTTTGATGGTGACTAGTTTCACTTTGACACGATCTGGAACCTCCTTATATTTAAAAATTTGCTCCACTTCATTTAGCCAATCAATAAATCCTTCAGCCTGCAACGTACCAGAAAACTCGAGTAGATCCATTCTGAAACCGAGATCCACATGACGATCCTCCCGTCCACGATGCTCCCAAACTCGAGCATGATGGTGATACGGGTTTTCAAAACTGGTATCAAAATCGTGACCTTCCACATCATGATTACCGAACTCCTGCGACGCCAAACATTGGGTTAACTCCGCAATTTGTCTCTACAAATCTTCAATCGTCACATCCTGAATATTACGATCACGGTGCGGGACTTCCTCAATCGGAACTTGTCCTCGACGACCATGACCATGTCCATGAACCATTATAACTGATGGAATTTATCTCCCAAGAAGATGCTGACGCTCTGACACCAACTGACGCCGGGTAGGATAGTGATTATCTTGTTAGCTTGTTTTAGCAGATGATTCGGAAGAAAAGAACGACAGAAATCGCCCAAAAAACCAGAGAAAATACTTTAAATTCAACTCAATATTATTAATAATGCAGAATGATCAAAACTAACCCACAAGCCGGGTTAAATAGCTGCGAAATACGAAATTATGGGAAAATTACCAAAAATGGCAAAATCCCGAAATTATACCAAAATAAAATAAAGTAAAAGAAGTAAGTTGCCAAAAATTTGGCTCAATTCGAATTTTCTAACATATGGAAAAAAGGAAACAAAATATTACCATAAATAGTAAAAAATAACTTAAAATTGAATTTTGGAAAGGAAAATAGTGGATTTTGGGCTCGAAATTGATGTCCACCAAGCATAGGGTGGCGAAGACGTGCGCACGGAGGAGAGCTTTCCGGATTGGGGTCATAATAACGATTTCGATAACCGTAGCCAAAGTTATGGCCAAATTACCACAAAGATGCATCAAATTCCCCCAATTAAGGAAATAATAGTGATTCACTTTCCATCTTTGCGCCGATCCGCCATCTCATGGTATCTCAGCGCCATCATCGTGCTATCTGACAAATCAGCATCACTCGACTCGGATCGTCCTGCATCAGTCACCCCGGGTTGGAAAGAACTCGCCCTCGAGTTCACAGTAACTTCATCGGACTCCATAAAACAAGGGCTTAGGTGTTTTACATTGAAGACGTCAGAGGTCTTCAAATGGCTCGGGAGGCACAATCTGTAAGCATTATCATTGATCTTCTGCAGCACTTCACAAGGTCCAATCTTCAACTCCTTTAGCTTATTGTATTCCCCAGCTAGAAAACGATCAAGAGTTAATACTGCCCAAACAAAATCACCAACATCAAACAACACCTGGCGTCGATGACTATCTGCCCGAACTTTGTACTTAGTATTGCTATCTTGTATGGACAGCTTCACCTGCTCATGGATACCTCGAAGATGTTCAGCCATCTCATCAACTTTGTTATTGAAGCGACCCACACGTGGAATCGGAGCCAAATCAAGTACTCCGGATGGGTTCCGACCATAGACAATTTCAAAAGGATTCAGTCTGGTGGTTCTGTTCCTCGACCGATTATAAGCAAACTCTGCTTTAGGTAATGCCAAATCCCACTGCTTCGGTTTAGGCCTGGCTAAGCTTCTCAAAAGATTTCCCAAACTCCGATTCACCACCTCATTCTGACCATCTGTTTGGGGATGGTATGCGCTGCTAAAATTCAATTTCGTTCCAAGTTTCTCCCACAAACTCCTCCAGAAATGACTCATAAACTTAGTGTCATGATCAGAAGTAATTGACTGTAGAACACCATATAAACGTACAATCTCTCTGAAATAAAGATGAGCAATTCGTGTAGCATCCATTGTCTTCTGGCAAGCCACAAAATGAGCCATCTCTGAAAATATGTCAACCACAACAAGAATGGAATCCATCGCCTGCTGTGTACGAGGTAAGCCCAAGATAAAATCCATACTGACATCAAACCAAGGAACTTCAGGTACGGGTAATGGTGTGTACAATCCAGCATTAGTAAGAGCCCCTTTAGACCGCTGACACACATAACACCGCTCCACATAATGCGCCACATCACTGCTCAACTTGGGCCAGCAATAATCAAAAGAGACCAATGCTAATGTCTTGTCTCGCCTAAAATGTCCTTCGTTATGAAGTTCGCTAATAATCTGCTACATTAGTGAACAATCCGGAATGCATAACTGCAATCCACGAAACAGGTAACCATTATGTAAAACAAAATCAGGTCGGTGATTATCAGTTACCTCCCGAATTATCTTTCCAAATGAAGGATCCACAGCATGCATATGAGGAAATGCCTCAAATCCGACAATCTTGGTGCTCATGGTGGTGAGGAGTAATGTGCGACGGCTCAATGCATCTGCTACTCGATTCAAACTCCCTGCTTGATGCTTGAGTGTGAAAGTAAACTCCTGCAAATACGCCATCCACTTTGCATGTCGCCTACTCAGCTTGTGTTGACCATTAATGTACTTCAAAGCCTTATGATTAGTAACAAGGATGAACTCCCTCTGTACCAGGTAATGGCGCCAATGCTTCAGAGTCTGAACTATGGCATAGAACTCCAGGTCATAAGTGGAATAATTTTTCTTCGATCCCGATAGCTTCTCACTAAAAAAGGCTACCGGACGTCTCTCCTGACTCAGAACACCATCAATACCAACTCCAGACGCGTCATAGCTTACCTCGAACACCTTTTCAAAATTCGGAAGTGCCAAGACTGGGGCCTCCGATATCTTCTGCTTAACCAACTGAAAGCTATCCTCTACCTTCTCAGTCTACTGAAAATCATGCCCTTTAAGGCACGCTGTGATAGAAGCAATCAAGGTACTCAAGTTTTTGATGAATCGACAATAGAAGGATGCCAATCCATGGAAACTCCTGACATCGTGCAAAGTTTTTGGTTTCGGCCAATTCAAAACTGCCTCAATTTTGGATTGATCTGCATGAACACCATCAGTAGACACAACAAAATCCAAAAAAGTTACAGAAGTTGTGAAGAAAGAACACTTAATTCTGATTGATGAATAAGCACTCCGTCCTGATTACATCAAAGACAGCACGAAGATGATTAAAATGTGACTCTCATGTCAGACTATAAATAAGTATGTCATCAAAATAAACTACCACAAACTTTCCCATGAAAGGTCGTAAAACCTAATGCATAAACCTCATAAAAGTGCTGGGTACGTTGGATAGTCCAAAGGGCATGACCATCCACTCGTACAACCCATGCTGTGTCTTGAACGCGGTCTTCCACTCATCTCCAGGCCTGATTCTGATCTGGTGGTATCCACTTTTAAGGTCAATATTTGAGAAGACCTTAGAACCGGACAATTGATCCAACATGTCGTCCAGACGAGAAATTGGAAACCTGTACTTCACCGTAATCCTGTTAGTCAACACACATACGCCATGACCCATCTTTCTTCGAAACTAGTAGAGCACGAATTGCACAAGGACATGCTCTCATGAATGTAGCCCCTTTCCAATAATTCTAGCACCTGTCGCTGCAACTCTTCATCTTCCTTGGGACTGAGGTGATATGCTGGTTGGTTTGGTAGACTCGACCCCGGAATGAGGTTGATCTGATGTTGAATGTCCCTCATAGGTGGTAGTCCTAGAGGAAGACCCTCCGGAATAAAGTCAGAAAACTCCATCCGTAGTTGCTGTACTTTGTTGGAAATTCTGAATCCACATTTGTTGTACTATTTTCACGAGGCATTAGAGCATAAACTAAACTATTTTTTCATGCCCAACCTCAACCAAGAACCTGGACATAGAAAGTAGATTGGAGTTTTTAACTACTGGGGCAAGAATGTTTCCTTCCCTGTGAGGCACCAAAACAATTCTCTTCTCTTTGATGCTAAGAGAATAAGCATTCTTTCACCCATCATGGATAACACTGCGATCATACTGCCAAGGTCGTCCCAACAAAACATGACACGCATCCATTAATACCACATCACACCAAGTATTGTCAAAATATTTTTTTCCAATCGAGAAAGACACTAAGCATCGTTTTTCTACCGTTACCTCATTGCCTTTATTCAGCCAAGACAACTTGTATGGTTTGGGATGACGATCCATCTTCAGTTGTAATTTATCGATAGCCTTCTCAAGCACTACATTCTCACAACTGCCACTATCAATTATCAGCTTACAGACTTTATCAGCAACTGTGCAGGTTGTGTGGAAAACATTGGTCCTCAACCAATCATTCCCTGAGTCGCCCTTGGGAGTCAGCAGGCTCTTTCGAATGACCAGGGTCTCCTTACCATCTCCATATAGCACGTCCTCATCTTCACCCTCATCATACATGGGTTCCCCAACTTCCTCGAACTCCTCCTCTTCAATCAGAAGATTTTTATTCTTTTGACCAGCAGGCTTCCTGCAATCAGTCGCCCTATGTCCCTGTTCATCACACCTAAAGTACTTAATACTTGAGCTGGAACTATCCCTCTGTGACTGATAAGCAGGACGAGATTCTTGAGGGCGAACTGGCTGACTTCTTTCACCTCTAACCACTGGCCTCCTACTTTGCTGTTTCTCTACTGCAAGTGCTCGCTGATATGCCTCAGAAACTGTCCACAACGAATGAAGGCTAAGAATATCCTGCAAGGGCTGTCTTAATCCCCCCAAATACCGTGCTACCATCTGCTCCTCCGTCTCAGATAAATCATTCCGAGCCACCAACTAATAGAATTCTTCAGTATAATCATTGACTGATCTTGCGCCTTGCCTTAGTGAATGAAGCCTCTGAAACTAGGTTTGAGTATAGCCGAAAGGGAGGAAGTGCCCTTTCATCTTCTTCTTCATCTTCTCCCAGCTAGCAATTTTAAATTTTCCCTATCGCTCCCTTGAACGCTTCAACTATTCCCACCGTGCCGATGCCCTACCTTTGAGTTTGATGGCAACCAATTTCACTTTGACACGATCTGGAACGTCCTTCTATTCAAAAATCCGCTCCACTTCATTCAACCAATCAATAAATCCTTCAGCCTGCAACGTACCAAAAAACTCGGGCAGATCCACTCTCAAACTGAGATCCACATGACGATCCTCCCGTCCACGGTGCTCCCAAACTCGAGCACGATGGTGATACGGGTTTTCGAAACTGGTATCAGAATCGTGACCTTCCACATCATGATTACCGAACTCCTGCTCTACCAAACGTTGGGTTAACTCCGCAACTTGCCTCTGTAAATCTTCAATCGTCACATCTTGAATATTTCGATCTCGGTGCAGGACTTCCTCAATCGGAACCTATCCTCGACGACCACGACCATGTCCACCAACCATTATAACTGATGGAATTTATCTCCCAAAAAGATGCTGACGCTCTGATACCAACTGATGCCGGGTAGGATAGTGATTATCCTATTGGCTTGTTGTAGCAGATGATTCGCAAGAAAAGAACGACAAAAAATGCCCAAAAAACCAGAGAAAACACTCTGAATTCAACTCAATATTATTAATAATGCAGAATGATCAAAACTAACCCACAAGTCGGGTTAAATAGCTGCGAAATACGAAATTATGGAAAAATTACCAAAAATGGAAAAATCCTGAAATTATACCAAAATAAAATATTAAGTAAAAGAAGTAAGTTGCCAAAAATTTGGCTCAATTCGAGTTTTCTAACATATGAAAAAAAGGAAACGAAATATTACCATAAATAGTAAAAAATAACTTAAAATTGAATTTTGGAAAGGAAAACAGTGAATTTTGGGCTCGAAATTGATGTCCACATAGCATAGGGTGGCTACGACGTGCGTGCTAAAGAGAGCTTTTCAAATTGGGGTCATAGTAGCGATTTCGATAATCGTAGCCAAAGTTATGGCCAAATTACCAAAGACGTGTCAAATTCCACCAATTAAGGAAATAATGGTGATTCACTTTCCATCTTTGCGACGATCCGCCATATCATGGTATCTCAGCGCCATCATCGTGTCATCTGACAAATCAGCACCACCATCGTGTTATCTGACAAATCAGCACCACTCGACTCGGATCCTCCTGCATCAGTCGCCCCAAGTTGGAAAGAACTCGCCCTCGAGTTCGCAGTAACTTCATCGGACTCCATAAAACAAGGGCTTAGGTGTTTTACATTGAAGACGTCAGAGGTCTTCAAATGGCTCAAGAGGTGCAATCTGTAAGCATTATCATTGATCTTCTACAGCACTTCACAAGGTCCAATCTTCCGCTCCTTTAGCTTATTGTATTCCCCAGCTGGAAAACGATCACGAGTTAATACTGCCCAAAAAAAATCACCAACATCAAACAACACCTGGCGTCGATGACTATCTGCCCGAACTTTGTACATAGTATCGCTATCCTGTATGGACAGCTTCACTTGCTCATAGATACCTCGAAGATGTTCAGCCATCTCATCAGCTTTGTTATTGAAGCGACCCACACGTGGAATTGGAGCCAAATCAAGTACTCCAGATGGGTTCTGACCATAGACAATTTCAAAAGGACTCAGTCCGATGGTTCTATTCCTCGATTGATTATAAGCAAACTCTGCTTGAGGTAATGCCAAATCCTACTGCTTCGGTTTAGTCCCAGCTAAGCTTCTCAAAAGATTTCCCAAACTCCGATTCACCACCTCAGTCTGACCATCTGTTTGGGGATGGTATGCACTGCTAAAATTCAATTTCGTTCCAAGTTTCTCCCACAAACTCCTCCAAAAATGACTCATAAACTTAGTGTCACGATCAGAAGTAATTGACTCTAGAACACCATGTAAACGCACAATCTTTCTGAAATAAAGATGAGCAATCCGAGTAGCATCCATTGTCTTCCGGCAAGCCACAAAATGAGCCATCTTTGAAAATCTGTCAACCACAACAAGAATGGAATCCATCGCCCGCTGTGTACGAGGTAAGCCCAAGACAAAATCCACACTGACATCAAACCAAGGAACTTTAGGTACAGGTAATGGTGTGTACAATCTAGCATTAGTAAGAGCCCCTTTAGACCACTGACATACATAACATCGCTCCACCTAATGCGCCACATCACTGCTCAACTTGGGCCAGTAATAATCAGAAGAGACCAATGCCAATGTCTTGTCTCGCCCAAAATGTCCTTCGTTATGAAGTTCACTAATAATCTGCTGCCTTAGTGAACAATCTGGAATGCATAACTGCAATCCACGAAACAAGTAACCATTATGTAAAACAAAATCATGTCATTGATTATCAGTTACCTCCCGAATTATCTTCCCAAATGAAGGATCCGCAGCATACATATGAGGAAATGCCTCAAATCCGACAATCTTGGTGCTCATGGTGGTGAGGAGTAATGTGCGACGGCTCAATGCATCTGCTACTCGATTCAAACTCCCTGCTTGATGCATGAGTGTGAAAGTAAACTCTAGCAAATACGCCATCCACTTTGCATGTCGCCTACTCAGCTTGTGCTGACCATTAATGTACTTCAAAGCCTCATGATCAGTAACAAGGATGAACTCCCTCTGTACCAGTTAATGGCGCCAATGCTTCAGAGGATGAACTATGGCATAGAACTTTTGGTCATAAGTGGAATAATTTTTCTTCGATCCCGATAGCTTCTCACTAAAAAGGCCTACCGGATGTCCCTCCTGACTCAGAACACTACCAATACCAACTCCAGACGCATCACAGTTTACCTCGAACACCTTTTCAAAGTTTGAAAGTGCAAAGACTGGGGCCTCCGTCATCTTCTGCTTAACGAACTGAAAGCTAGCCTCTGCCTCCTCAGTCCACTGAAAATCACGCCCTTTAAGGCACTCTGTGATAGGAGTAATCAAGGTACTGAAGTTTCTGATGAATCGACGATAGAAGGATGCCAATCCATGGAAACTCCTGACATCGTGCAAAGTTTTTGGTTTCGGCCAATTCAAAACTGCCTCAATTTTGGATTGATCTACATGAACACCATCAGTAGACACAACGAAACCTAAAAAAGTTATAGAAGTTGTGAAGAAAGAACACTTATTTTGATAATGAATAAGCGCTCCGTCCTCATTACATCAAAGACAGCACGAAGATGATTAAAATTTGACTCCCATTTCAGACTATAAATAAGTATGTCATCAAAATAAACTACCACAAACTTTCCCATCAAAGGCCGTAAAACCTGATGCATAAACCTCATAAAAGTGTTGGGTACGTTGGATAGTCCAAAGGGCATGACCATCCACTCGTACAATCCATGCTGTGTCTTGAACGCGATCTTCCACTCATCTCCAGGCCTGATTCTGATCTGGTGGTATCCACTTTTAAGGTCAATTTTTTATAAGACCTTAGAACCGGACAATTGATCCAACATGTCGTCCAGACGAGGAATTGAAAACCTGTACTTCACTGTAATCCTGTTAGTCAACAACATACGCCATGACACATCTTTTTTCGGCACTAGTAGAGCAGGAACTACACAAGGACTCATACTCTTACGAATATAGCCCCTTTCCAATAATTCTACCACCTGTCGCTGCAACTCTTCAGCTTCCTTGGGACTGAGGCGATATGCTGGTCAGTTTGGTAGACTCGACCTCGGAATGAGGTCGATCTGATGTTGAATGTCCCTCATAGGTGATAGTCCTGGAGGAAGATCCTCCGGCATCAAGTCAGAAAACTCCATCCGTAGTTGCTATACTTCTGCTGGAAATTCTGAATCCACATTTGTTGTACTATTTTCACGAGGCATTAAAGAATAAGCTATTTTTTCACGCCCAACCTCAACCAAGAACCTGGACATAGAAAGTAGATTGTCATTTTTAACTACCGGGACAGGGATGTTTCCTTCCCTGCGAGGTACCAAAACAATTTTCTTCTCTTTGATGCTAAGAGAATAAGTATTCTTCCACCCATCATGGATAACACTGCGATCATACTGCCAAGATCGTCCCAACAAAACATGACACGTATCCATTAATACCACATCACACCAAGTATTGTCAAAATATTTTTTTTCCAATCGAGAAAGACACTAAGCATCGTTTTTCTACCGTTACCTCATTGCCTTTATTCAGCCAAGACAACTTGTATGGTTTGGGATGACGATCCATCTTCAGTTGTAATTTATCGATAGCCTTCTCAAGCACTACATTCTCACAACTGCCACTATCAATTATCAGCTTACAGACTTTATCAGCAACTATGCAGGTTGTGTGGAAAACATTGGTCCTCAACCAATCATCCCCTGAGTCGCCCTTGGGAGTCAGCAGGCTCTTTCGAACGACCAGGGTCTCCTTACCATCTCCATATAGCACGTCCTCATCTTCACCCTCATCATACACGGGTTCCCCAACTTCCTCGAACTCCTCTATCATATCCTCCTCAATCAGAAGATTTTTATTCTTTTGACCAACAGGCTTCCTGCAATCAGTCGCCCTATGCTCCTGTTCACCACACCTACAACACTTAATACTTGAGCTGGAACTATCCCTCTGTGGCTGATAAGCAGGACGAGATTCTTGAGGACGAACTGGCTGACTTCTTTCACCTCTGACCATAAAAATGATCTTGTATCTAATCGCATGGTTTGAGGTACGTCCTACGTCTTCCACTTATTGTTCATTATTATGTTAGCTTTTAAATTTCTCGTCATTCTAATTTTATTATCTTATTGTTGTTGATGTGTTTTGTATGAAGAGGTACACTTTATTA